GGCAAGAAGTACTTCACCGCGTTCTTGGGAATTGTTGTTCGGAAAGATATTCGTTCTGGTAGAGAAGAATGTAAGAAACATTTGAAAAGAAAGGCTCTGAAGATATGGCAACCTAGAAGAAGTCACTCGAGATCGATCCCTTCAATTCTTCAAGGGAAAAAAATTTAGGAAGATTGCCATGAAACGTAAAAGAGTTTTACTTCTATCACAGTTGCTGTCATAGATTTCTTTGCAATGATCTCTTTCAATTTTTGTTATTTTTATTACAATCTTTCTATGACTGCGATTAATAATTAAAATGCGTTTAAATTTAATTCTTAAATATTTCTCGTAAAATATTCATCAAAATTTATTTACGGTACTATTGCAAAAGTTGGTCTGTTATTAATGATATATAATCGAAAAGATAATAATTCTACTCGCTAAAGTCAGTAGAAAATGCATAATAAATGATCATCTATGCAAGTGATCTTTAATAATTAAAATATTTTTGGTACGTGCTGTTTTAATATTAAACGCTAGTATCTGCTAAAATGATGGAAGATTTTCTTGTTCTCGCGTCGGATTTCTACGCAGAGAAAAATCATGCATAGAACCTGTTTTCTTTCTACTTTCTTTGTAGTAACGCGGGAAAAGTTTCCAGCCTCGAGATAACCGTCTCAAGTCTCGTGGCGAGTTACGGTTCGCTCCCAAAGGTGAAATTGGAAAAAGTTTTTCCGTTTGTGTGGATGCCTCTGCAGGTGGTATCAATCTCGTGGACTTTCGGTATCTCAAGTGTGTTGAAATGTTCATGTCGCGATGTATATGGTGTTGGAGATGTACTTTAAAAGATTGTGATTTTAATACTAGAATCTTTCGGAGAGGTCGAAAGAACCAATGATTGTTATAATATCGTTGGAGAATCTCTTTCTCCCCTCTTGTTTAAATCGCGTTTGATCTGTTATTATCTTTGCAAAAATGTACGCTCTAAAAAACACTCTATTTGAAATTCTTCTCTACGAATAGAAAATTCGCGTGCGCGTCCAGGAAAAATACGTATTTCATACACATACTAAAAACACGAAGACTAATTGGAGCTTTATGAAGGCTAATTTCCCAAATGAAAGCCAGATCAAAAACTCTCTCTCAGTATTATTATTTATTTCTACTCTCGTATCCCTTTGTGGAAATTTTATATGTAGAGTGTGTGTTATTCTAAAGTATTCACATTTCTTTTGAACTGCGCTATAGATACATATAAAACATTCCATATATATTATAAAATGATAATATATGTTTTTCTACTTCTTATACGTTACCAAAGATATCGCAAGAGAAAGGAATTGCGATTTGAAAAGACGTCGATTCATCGCGCTTTATTTTGGGTCACGCTTTGTGCTTTAGAATGAATGTGCCGCATTTTTAAATATACGAATTACGAGAATAAAAAGAGGTATTTAAAGAGCGACGGAGGAACTGTGGCCATCTCATCGGACGTTGATTAACGCGACGGATGGACTGCTTTGTCTATTTCTCTATTTCGGTCGGAAAATATTTCTCGCCATCTTTTGTTCCGTAGAATAGTCTGTACGAGTGGCCTAATTAGCACACGACGTTTAGTCAATGGAAAAAAAAAAGAAAAGCCGGTAAAGGTAACCAGCTCGTTTCTCGTGACAATTCTTTTATATCGCGAATCTCTTGCGAGATACATCAAAGATGCATCATTTAATTATGGTCGTTTACACAATAGAGATAGACAATACCCTATCTTGTACCTTGTACCTTTGTTTTTACTTTAATTGCAAAAAGGAAACAATCATTCTTTATTATATCGATCGTTATCGCTGGTTTTTTAAACTTTTGATCATTTTATTATATATATTTAATGTTATTTTTTTTAAATATAAAATTATAAAATATAAAATATAAATTTTTAAATTTGGCAAATATATTATATATATCCGTATACAATTAAATATTGAAAAAATATTTAATTATCAAATTAAGAAAACAAATTTTTTATAATATACATAAAATATCAATAATATTCTTCATATTTAATATTTTGGTATTTTTCTATTACCTTTCATTCTTTGTAATTATGAAATTACATAAATCATACTTTAAATATGTAAATATTTTTCTAGATAAATTGATTTTGAATTATATAATTTTATAATTTATGACCAGGTTTTATGGGTACTTTAGAAATTGTATTATTTTGCAGATTTATATATAAAATCGCAAACAACGACAGATATAGGAAATGTATATTTTCTAATCATTTCTGAAACAAAGAAATAAAAATCATTCAAAATAATAATATTTACTTTTCTGCTCGGAGTGTCAGTTAGTCTAACTGGTATTTTGGGTCTTAGTAAACTGAGGAAGGGGAAGGGAGCGAAGAATATCGATTTAAGGACCCTTCAAGGTTGGTCGCGAGTCGAAACGACTGTTAGTTTCGTATATGGTCGATAGATGTCTAATCTAGTCACAGCGCTTCTTGTAAGTGAAATTCAGTCTTCTTGTATATATAAGGAACGTTGTGAACTTTGCTCATCACTCTGGTTTCCCTTCAACACACGAATAAATCTTTCGCCTTTTACTAAAGATTTCCGTGGAGGGGAATAACTCAACGAGTCTTTAAAAAATTTTTTGACGTACCTGGCGAAAGCTGGGTCATAAATCAATTCAAAATTTAATTTATCTAGGAAAGTATCTCGTATAATATTTAAGAGGACATACACAAAATGTTCTCACGCAAAAAGTTTTTTTACTATTTTTCCCGTGTTCCTCGTCAAAAATGTCTTCAGAAACGACCTTTCAAATAGGGGGCCACAGTTATCGTAATCACCCCCAAAAAGGATTTCAGACAATTTGAGATTATCAGAAATATTTTTGCATTTATTTTCTACATATCGTTATGATCGGTATGATTGTGAAGATCTGTCATCCTCGCGGTTGCTTATACTGAACTTTATTGGAGCTGAGAAGATAGAGAAGAAGTATGAGCTCTACAACGAGAGGATCCATTCCGTCTGATGCTGATTCATAGCGGTTAGACGTGCTCTGCATTATTCAGAGAGCGCACCTGACCGTATAACGTCATGCGACTTTAAATATGGTTGCACCACTTTTGACTGTCAAAGCGGATAATGCGGCACGTCATATACTTTTCTCTCAGTTGCATCGATGGCTAGCAAAATCGAATAAAGGAGATGCAGCACAGGATTTACGCGAAAAAACGAGGCGAAATTTATAGCCAGTATATTTCATTGTTTACATATCTAACTTGTTTCTGTTTCATTGAAATATGACACGTTCTTAGCGGGATCGTTATAATTTATGGTTATACAAAAAAGAATCCACAATAAATTATTATATATATACGATATATATTACAAGATTAATTTTGAAATTTCGTGATATTACTTGTACGCCTAATGAGATAAAAGAAATAAAGAAGATGTAAAATAAGAATAAAACAAGAATAAATATCTCTTTCTTTATTAAGTTTAACTGATAATAAGTTTGCCGAGAGACTAAAATGCGTATTAACTAAAATTTTTACATGCTACAAAAATTATCTAATGAAATAATAACGCGGATTATCATTTGTTTAAACGCGTATTTTTCTTTTCCAATTTTTATACATGAAAAGAATTGAATATAATAAAGAAAGTAGCATTAAAATTTTAACGAATAAAAAGACGATTAGAATAAAATAGAAAGATGATTTAAAGAAACCTACGAGAGTCTGACGATAAAAATAATAAAAGCAAACGAGGGTGCCTTCGTTTAAGGTTGGATGCAGAGTTCATTTTTGCGAGTGAGCATGAAAACGGCTATACCCGTCACCCAATATATTGAACGTAACCCACTATTTCGACCGACCATTTCCGGTTTTTGCACGATGCAGTTCATGCAGAATACGACGCATTTTTTTTTTTTCTCGTTGCCTCCGATTTTATGTATATATATATTCGCTCGCTTTGTGAAGCTGCGGCAGCAATACGTGAATTTCTCGGATTTTTCTCCACGCATGTTTGTCAACGTTCTATTATTTCGCAAATTGTCGTCGTGCAGAATAAGTTTCATACTTTCGACGTATATTTTTTCAAAAAATGTATATTTTTTTGTCGTATAAATAGGGGATGCACGTCCTATCACATTGTTGATTCTTTAAACAATTGCTAACAAATATTGCATAAAAAAATATTTCAAAAATTTTGTTGCGAGGAGTATGAAAAACATTCTTGTCAGTCACGACCGATAAAGGAAAGAGACTATTGCATTCAATAAAAATGTAACGGGCAAATAATTTTGAAAATATTTGAAAAATTGAAGATAATATTGCAAAAAATATTTTATCAAAACAATTTTTTACATTTTGCATAAATATTTAAAGGTACGTATAAATACGTGTGTATAAGTGCGTGTGTTGTATGTGATATGTATGAATCCTATGTCTAGCGATTAACTGTTGGTAGTAATTTATATATAAAAAATGTTAGATATCATATCTAGTTATGCAAATATATGGAAATTATTGTAACTATTAGCTTCAAAAGTCACAGCCAGAACTGCAGAACTTTTGAAAAGGTTACAAGATTTTATACATATATGTATCGGGATTTTATGTATAAATTATTCAAGTTTTTTGAATATTAAATTCAAAATGACAGCCATCTTAAAAGATCATAAAATTTAAGATGTCGATTCGGCAGCATTTCAAATGAGAAGATAAATAAATTCGCAAGTCACCGCATCATATTAATGCGATTTTCCGCCGCCGCTTATGCCCAAACGAGTGATCTGATTCTTTCAAGCACTTCATGATGAATGGCGAATTCGTAAGATTGCACGTAGAGATTGCGGATGCTGAGCACGACGAGGCTAGCTCGTCCATTCTTCTCGAGGACGACGCGGCTTCTTCCATTTCGCTCTTTCTCGTCGCTTTTTTTTTTCCTCTTTAGGCCCTGAAGCGACGTCGTAAGAACCATCTGTCTCGTTTGTTTCAGGTTCTACCACCTTGGAAAGCCGCCAAGTCCGGAAGTATATCCTTCAAAATTCGTACCAACGAACCCAACGGACTGATCATGTATAGCCGTAGCGGAGCTCACACGAGAGTATGCATTTTTTATTTATCCTTCTTTTTAATTATGACATCGACAATTGTTGTAACAATTAAGCCGAGAATAATCAAATAAGAAAAAAAAAAATTTTTTTTTGCATATGTTTACCAAATTTAGGAGTAAATTTTTGCATGTAAAAAAAGAATACTCCAGAAGAGCTTTAGAGACAATAAAATCGAATGTGGCTGCCAAAGCGCGATTACGCGTCTGTACAATTATTGGCTGCTGAAAACGTTTTTCGAAATAACAAGCCGCTTTTGTCCCAAAACTCATTCCGGCCGCGGTTGCACACTCGACTGACGGTAATTTAATTATCGATGCACAATTCCATCCTCCTATGACACTCTGACGATCGATGAGTTCTGGTGGTCAGCGACCTTCGCACCTGAATTTTACGATTATTTAGTATTTTGAGACATTCTCCTATCATTCTATATAAATAACTTTTAATATGTTATGTAATTGTTTAATCAAAAAAATACATACGAGTCACAATTTTTGAAAATTGAAATTTTTTTCCCTTAATTAAGCTAATGAAAATAGATTGGCACAAGAAATAATATTTCAATAATATTTCAATAATGAATTGTAAATAAAATATTTTTTTGTGTTATTGTGGAACAAATCTATATTAATTGATATATTAAATCTGATTCAAATATGTTATATAATTATTGTATTTTCAATTATATATTTTTTGAATAATTCTCACCTTTATTACATAAATGTAAAGAATTATATGAGTTTTTGTCTAATTGAATTATTTAACAAATCATAAATGTTGTTTATCAAATTTAAATCTCTTTTAATAGTTGATAAACCTGGATTGCCACGATATATCTTCATTTATTTGTAATCCTATTAATAACAATGGTACGCTGACATGCGATAATACATCTTCATCTATCTACCTGTAGCAACAGAAATTCAATAAATTGCGACAATGAGATTTTCTTTATTTTATATATAAATAAAAAGTCTCTCCTTACACTTAGCTGTAATTCAGTAAATATATAAAAACAAAACCCGTTAATATGATATATTTTCTTTCTATACACAGTTTAAATATAATTTATCGAATAAGCGATATAATTCCACAAATCATTAATCAAATAAAAATCCTAATTAAAAATTTAATAGACATTAAAAATCATATTAATCGCATTGCAAAAAGGTGTGCACACAGAAACAGTTTATTTTACATTAGTAGCAATGCTGTAATATAAATGGGCGATCTATTTCTCTATTCATTGCAGCAAGATCTATTTGCCTTTGAAATTCTTGGCGGACATCTTTATCTACATGCCGATCTTGGAAGTGGCCCCGTTAAAGTAAGATCGTCAAAGACACGTATCGATGATGGCGTTTGGCACGATGTCGCCCTAAGAAGGGTCGAGAGGGATGGTCGAGTCACTGTGGATGGTAATTCAGCCGATTTTCGTACACCAGGTAACGTAATGTAAATCCTTCTTGCTGTTGTTATTTTTTTCTCAAAGTGTGTTATTAAAATCATAATTCAATAAAAATAAAATAATTTTTCCTAATTAATTAACAGACTATTGTGACAAATATTTATTATAGTCTTATAAATGAAAAAGTTTGTAATTTCAACTAATTCTTAAATTTGGTTTACATCTCAAAATAATTAATTTGTTATTTATGCATGTGTATGTATAATTGACAGATATATAATTATATAAAGTAGAAATAAAAAAATATAAATTTTTCTTTAAACATATAGTGTATATGTATGTTTTAATTTCGTAATGTAACTTTATTATATTCTACAGGGAGAAAGTTTCTCATATTGGTATTCTCATTTAAACTTAATTATTTTTTAAAATTGTATAAGTATATCTGCTTTTTCGCGGAAGTGAAAGGTAGTTAATATTTTTCTTGAAACAAACATCGCAATCGATGCCTATTGTAGTATTTATGCGTTCACATACACACACACACAATGACGATTTTTTAAAAAGAATTATCTCACTTCTTATACACATTAAATGTCTAACCCAATTCGGAAGATAAGTGTCCTCGAGCGTGTAACTCTGAATTATGAGCGGCTCGGTCCGCTCAGTTCGCCGTTTACGTCGCTGGACCGCGATGTCCAGAATTTACTCACTACACCGTGGTTAAGTGATAAAGCACTACGTATGTACGGCGGCAAGCACGCGAACGATACCGGCAAAAACGACAAAAAGAATTTTATTGAGACAGCGAGGGTCCATATATCCTCTTGCAGATAACGGTGACTTAGATTGTTGAAGATGTTATTGTAGTATTTATTGCTCCGATTTTTTTGTAAAGAAGAGATAGAATCTAATTCATATCCGATGTTATAAACAAGATGCACAAATAATATCAGAATTAAAAATAGTAATTGTATCAACGAAAGATAAAGATGTTTGATTTGAGAAAAGATGTTTTAATTGTTTTAGCGTATAAATGACTGATTGATTTTTTTTAATTATTAAAATAATAAATAACAATAGAGACAAGAATATTTTTCCCTTATCCTTGTTATATGTATGAAGCACACACACATACACATACGCACGCATGCACTTCGTAGCGCGTTTTTGTAAACCTCTAATAACGTCAAAGTATTTTTTGCTAATCCAACTCTCTGAAGCAAAAAATTAATTAACTAACAATAAATTATTAACCGCGCTGAATAGGATAATGGTAACTTCTTTTTCTCTGAAATTCTCCGAACGAAGGACTAACTTATCCGCTTTCCTGTTAATTCTGTCGCTCATCAGCAACCTCCTCCCTGTACATGTACATCTACTTTTTCCTCTTCTAATTTTTTCGCGCAAGGTAACAAACTATTTAACTATTCTACATTCTTGCATTAATTTAAGTATCAAAAATTAGATTTAATAATGCATCACTATATCTTCTTATACATCTAAAATAATCTTTTGAATTGAATTCACTTATGAAATCAATGTTTATTAATCGAATTTGTTCGTATGTTAATAATCTACTTATTCATTAGCTGTTTTATATGCTATCCCATTTACTGAATTGTAAATTGCATTGGTTTTTGTTCTTCGATAAAATTTTTCTAAAATATGATATAAATTTTTTTATCTCATTCTATCTATTAGTTTGCTATCTGTCTCTTTTTCTGGTTTCTTTCTCTTCTCTCTCGTCCAGTATTCGCGAGATAAATTTGTAACTTTAATTGAACTATCACACAAGCGTTTTCACCTTACCACGATCGCAGTCTGTCGCGGTTAGTCGAATTATACGGATGGTTAATTTGCCAACAAAACTCGCCTTTGAATCCTACCAACATAGCTTGGAGCAATTTAGTCCTCGCGCTGTTGTGTAATAAAACTGCGGTGCAAATAACGCGCATCATTGCAAGACGCAAAAAAAAAAAGATTTTCAAATCCCACATTCCCTTGAATTAATTTGTTTATCTATTTATATCTCTCTCTCTCTCTCTCTCTCTCTCTCTCTCTCTCTCTCTCTCTCTCTCTCTCTCTCCCTCTCTCTCTCTGTAATATAAACCAAGAATAATAAAATAAATTTGAATCCTCGAGGAACACAGAGGACATACAGAAAGATATATTTTTCTAAGAAAAACTGTAACAAAAACCCCAGAATTATGGATATATATTTCCCAAGATGGTTTATAAACAAGCAGACTTAAAAAATGAATTCAGTCGCAAGATAAAATTTTTGTATAAAATAATATAAATTCGTTGTGTTTATATACCTATATTCCTTCTTCTCTTCTCTCAACTATTTTCTATAAATAAAAACTAATTTTTAAAAAAGTTTTAATATATTAATACGGAATATTAAAATATGTTGAAATAAATTTTCAGACGGATATTATTGGGAAATACTGGAACACCCAGTTTGATCTTCAATATAAAAAAGTTTATATAACTGCACGTATATAATACTTCCTCGTTTATCAAACGCTAATATTAATTAAGCGCCACACTTTAAAATGTTTCTTTATTCATTCTTTATCGTATTTCGATAATTATACAAAATGATTAAAATTTTTCTACATGCTTATTTTTGTACGTATTTATACGTTTAGATAAAAAAATTTCGATTTATGATGCAATTTTAAATTTAATATATATTAATAATGTTATTAACAGGTGATTCCACGCAATTAGACTTGGATGGTTTGTTATATATCGGTGGTGTGGGTGCACCATTTGCGCCCTTAACAGTTCCGCCCGTTCTATGGACGGGCGCCCTTCGACAGGGCTATGTGGGTTGCATGAGAGACCTCGTTATTAATGCGCATCCGGTAGATATTGCAGGATATGCGCAACAACAAGATTCCGGTAAGAAATTTAAATTTTAAGCACTTATTCGTGAAACGATAAAGTCGCACATTTAAAAAAAGTATCACCGCCACATAAGGATAACGATTTGTAATTGTAATTACAAAAAATATAACAAAAAATATTTATGATCGCATTTTCGAATTGTAATATAACGCAATATAAGCTTGCTGTATGTATTTATTATTATATAATCTCAATTACAAACATATAATAAATCTTTATAAATTAATATTTAATTTAATATAATATTTTGATAAAAGTTTATAGATATCTCTCTAGAATAACATAATTAAACGTGACAATCACATTGTCGCTAACGATTGTTGAAACAAAATATTTTTTCGTCCTGTCTGATATAACCATGTTTGTTAACTATTTATTAATAAAAACAACCTGCGGCTTGTGATATTATTGATATTTATACGGAAAAAGCGGAGGTACGATTTTTCGATGCTGTAAATAAAAAATAATAACGCTGCGGACAGGATTCGAACCTGTGCGGGCATAGCCCATCAGATTTCGAGTCTGACTCCTTAACCACTCGGACACCGCAGCTTACAGATACTCCCTCTTATCTGAACCAACTTCTTGCATGGTACAATTTACCCCATCCAGATAAAATATTGAATATGATAAATTTTACATTTTTATCATTATTACACGAAACAAATATATACGTAAAGAAAATAATCGAATTTATAATTTATTTAAAAATAAACAAAATGTCATGATGAATAAACATGGAAATACTTTATAATAAAAAAGAATATTATTATTTAAACAAAATAATGTAAGATGCAATAATATATATAATATGAAAAATAATTATTTACATAATGCTCTCACTTTCTCTTTGTTCTTACTTTCATAATTAAACAATAGATGTTTATAATTATTACACAATTTAAAAATATATATTTTAGAAATTTTATTTATTTTTATTTAAAAAGTGCTATAAAAAAGTTTCAGAATATAAATTATAAATTTTTTTGACTATTTTCTGCCATTGTCATTTAAATGCACTTTCTTGATATGACTCGAAATTTGAATACCCAATTAATAATAATTTATATTTGATTATTATTTAAGATCGCTTAATTAAACCGATAATAACGGCATTACGATGATAATTACGATAATAGTTACAGTTATTTCACTTTCTTGCATTGGCAATAGATTATTGTATATTTTGCGATTATATTTATGTATGCATACAGGTGCAGTGAGACCCGCATGTCATATTCAACCCCCACATTGCCCTTCACAACCGTGTATGCACGGTGGCCATTGTCTCGAAGGGTGGAATCGATTTCATTGTGATTGCACCAGCACACCTTTCACAGGACCTACTTGTGGCAAAGGTAAATATGTATAATTTGTTATCAAATACATATACATAAATTGATTTTACGTAGAATTACACACATAGCGTTCTTTCGAGAAGAATTACATCTCTACATTCAAACTGAGAAATAATCTAATAAAATTTATAATAATTTTATTTTATACTTTAAATATTTTATTGTGTGTGTGTGTGTGTGTTTTTTTTTTCTTTACTTTTTATAAATAATATATTATTATACACTTATCGCAGATGCATCGACACTACATTTAAACGGCACGCAGCAAATGACGGCACTGATGCCGGAAGAGTCCAGAACACAGGCCGAAGAAGTCATTATACGGTTTAAGACGACTAGAGCACGCGGCCTTCTATTAGCGACAAGCTTGGAAAACAGCGCCGATCGTTTACAAATTTATTTAGACGAGGGCAAAGCACAGATGCTAATTCACATCGGAGATCGGGAAAAAGTAAGTTTACGTAATATTCAGATCTCATCATCACTCAACGATGGTCGATAAAATAATGAAACTAGTTCTGAATGATCATAAAGATAAATATTTACAAAATCATTTTGAGTTTATTGTGATAAATATTTACATTTTAACTTAGAATGACGTGTAAAATGTATAATAAAATATTTAACAAATATCATCAAATGTGAAGAGATTTCGAAAATAATTTTGATGATTGAGAACTTTTAAAAATTAATTATTGTTTTAACTGTCCTATAATGTCAATTTAGTGATATCAAATCAAAACATATTGCCAGATTTTACTCCTTTTGCATAAACGCTATTCTTTGTTAAGCGCTATTTAAATAAATATTATTGCAAATAAGGACATGTTGCCGTAAAAGAGCAAGATATTGGATTTAGCTTGGATAAATTCGATCTACTTAATGTCAACGAATACCCGCTCAGAAGTTAAAGGACCGCGTAGTTCGCGAAGATTTACATTCCTGAGAAGCATCTTCGACGTCGCTCTAGTATACGTAATAGTTGACGTAGATGGTTCTTTCGGTTGCGAACGACGTCATGACATTAACTTAATACATCACTCGCAGGAACATCCGCCAAGTAAATGGCTGGTGGCTCTCATCTTCATGTAACGGAATATTCTTTCCGACGGAAATGTTGGACGCGTATTTTCGGTAATTGCTCCCGAAACACAAGATAATGCGTAATAATTTTTCATGTCTTATTATATTAACAATATGACATTACGAAAAAAAATTAATTTCACTTACAATCTAAGATATTTAAAAAAAATTTCGTAAGATAGGATCGGAAGGAACAGATAAGACTTTTGACATGTAATGTAAATATGCCAATTATCTCTGGCATAACTATAATATAAATATTGTACCGTCAGTTCTTTGGGAACGTATATTATTGATTATAGTATAATTTTTAGTGATCTATTTTTTATACTATAATAAATCTACATAATATTACTTTTATATCATCGCGACATAATTTATCTCAAATGTGTAGCGAATCTTTCTGAGTTTATTAAGAATCGATAAGAATGCTGTTCTCCAAGGTCACAAAGAGCGTTTCCGTGCTGCTCCATCGATCGTTTTCCCGGGAGCCAAATGCATTTCTGAATGCATCTCGCAACCCCTCGTTCACGCAATTCCCGACACTATCCCTCCCTACTGTCGCCCACATTCGCACGTGGAAATACATAAGCAATTTTGCAATCGCGACGTTTCCGGTCGAATGAATAGTAAATCGCACGATTCGATTTCGCAGCTATCTCATTAGATGATGCGTGAATATACATTTTATCCTTTTCTCTTCCTTTCCTCGCACATTGACATTTACGAATATATTTAATTCTCGCAAAAATATTACGTTTGCCATTAACTTTTTGTCCGATAAGTAAGTAAATTATAAATATTTGAAAATAAAATCTCTGCGAAAATAAAAAGATTTTTAGTTACGCATACATCTACACGTACATTATTGTAATTTAAAAATATATATACGTGATTAATATAATATAAAATTGTTATTACATATATTTAATTATGATTTCACAATTCAAAATATACTTAAAATTTTCTTGAATTATAAATCGTCTGAGATAAGCTTTAAGAATAACTAGTCATGGAAAGCATTAATCCGTCGCGCGCGTTGCATTGTTGTCATATTAAGCTCTCAGATATTGCATCAAGCGGCGGTGGCAATCTGAATTAACAATCTTGAGTCGAAGTCGCTTGTAACTCTCGTATGCTCGCGAATGAGTAACCAGACGTACACGTATACGCATATAAGAGCGAACGTACAAAGCGCGCAATAATTTACGGTAATGTTTCAATCTCTGTACCTACACGGACGCGTTAATTGGGCGGAATAATTGATATGATAACGCGGCAAGCTTGATGATTAGTCTACGGAAAACCGGATTTCCGCAAAGTTTCTACGAAGTTTGAGAGCGTTTCAATGAAGATTTCTATCGCGTTTGCTTCTGATTTTCTCGAACACGCCGAGATTGTCCGCGCAATTTTCAGTAATTTATTAATTCTTTTAACTGTTGCGAGAAAAAAAATTGTAAATAATAAAGACGATATTCAAGTAATTTCAATTAATATGTTAAAATATGCAACGAAAAGAAAAGAGTTTTCTAATATTTTTAATTTTATATATAATATAATGTGTAAAACTTGTTATAATAGTTTTATAATATATAATTGTTAATATTTTATCTCGATCAAAATTATTATATTTATAATAAGCCTTTTATAAATATTTTCATATTTAGATATATAGATTTTGCATTTTATATAATATTACATTCTATATTATATAAAAACTTTCTAAAGTTAAATTTATATTTTATAAATAATTTGACTTTGATTTAAATAACATTTGGAATGTTCTGAAAAAAGCATGAAAATAAGTTTGATAAAAATACTGTTCAATTTATCAAAGCAATTTATATCAAGTATAATTTTACTAATAGAGACTTTGACGGAGTTGAAACCAATTTTTCTTCAATAAAAATTCAATCAATTTTTTTTGAATTTATATATTGAGTATAAGAAATATATTTAGCGATTGATGACGCAAATTGCATGACAGGTGCAATCAGTATTTGCAATAATAATATCCAATCCGGCAATAGCAGCGATGCATAGATGACGTTAGATGACAAACGCGTGTCAGGTGCTACCCGACGCATGATATCGTATGTTGCAATGGAAACTGTGTCAGATAGTGACGAGTTGCTTGGATTTATGAAGCTTGGCCGAATGACAGACATCTCATAGAGATGGTTTATCGATAGCTTTAAAGCTATTGCGACACGTTGATGACGTTGCTGTAAAATGCGATAAAATGTCGAGAACTCAGTGCAAATATATCGACCGACTTCGTTTTAGCGTTTAAACTTTAGAAAATAAAAAAAGATTTTCTTCGAAAATTTAAAATTACTTTAAATATTTTCTCTTCAAATCAGAATTTTCCAAGATATGGATTTGTCATGCGCGGCTTTAAACTCTTTGCTTTATATAATATTTATAATTGTTATAGATGTTTATCACAGCCAGCATCCTGCGATAAACTTATTCGATACTTTTCAATTTCAGTTATTGGTAGCCGGACAGGGTCTTAACGATGACATGTGGCATACATTGAGGTTCTCCAGACGGTCCAATTCGCTCAAATTCCAGGTCGATGACGAAGCAGCCATACGAGGTATGTACATTTAAAATTAATTACTACGTAAATAAAAATTGTTATAACCGCTAAATACTTCTTTACTTATAAGCATTTAGTAGTTACACAGCTTTTATTCAAATATATTTTTTTTCTAAATTTGATATTTTCATAAATATTGACCTTTTTAACGCTCGTAATTAAATACCTTGTATGTGTAAGCGGCATTGTCGAAAAGAATCCATGTTACGAAACTTTATATGATAATTAAATGTAATGCAAAACAACGAATATTGGATAATCAAATAGAAAGGAAATTAAATAGAAAGAAAATTAAATAAAAGGAAAGACCGGTTAATTTAGACACGAACTACATTATTAACTTGACGGAAATGAAATGCCATTGGACGTGTAAAGTGCAGCAAATTGTACGTCGGTACCAGATGCAAAATAGTTGATTGGTTTTGTGCAGCAGCGGTGGAAGTGGCGTCATCGATCGCAAAGTATAAGGAACATTCAGGGGAAAAACAAATCTATTCCAGGACGTCAACGAGAAAGAGAGAAAGAAAAAAATATAAATGCCAAAAGCATATATACATCTCTTATTGCATTCAAAAAATCATTAAAATCGTTAAATTCTGATTTTTTATTTACTTATATTACACTTATATTTTATTACTTATATTTACAATTGTTTTATTTTTATTATATTCTATTATTATATATATTTATTGATATTCCAGAATCTAAGACTTTAAACGATTTATAATTCGTGACAAATTGCAAGACAAAATTTTATTCATATATTTTTATGTCGCTAATATTATATTATAATATGCTAACGCATTAGTTTGATATATATTTATGTATATATTTTATTTATTTAAATATGTGTTTTTGTCTGCATTACACGACACACACAAAATTATAAATAAAACTATAAATTATAAATAATAGATTATCTCTTTTTCTCAGAAGAATGGCAAATGCCATTATGTATAAAATGACCACAGCAATGGCAGCAATAAACCTAAACGACTCTCTTATATGCATGTTTAGAATATCGATACTTTGCTTTTACGGTAATCAATAAACCTTTTTCCTATACCAAAGCTTTTACACGCGGCTAAAAATCGCACTATAATTAAACCTGAATTCGTAATGTGCATAAAAGCAAACGATGCTTCGAGAAAATTAGAACGAGGTTTCTATACTATCTTTCCGCGGAGCAAAATTTATTGATCCCTTCCGAGAAAAAATTTCCCCATTATTTGAAAACAACAAATTATATAAACGTAGAGCAGATACATACTTTAGCAAAATGTATTATGGAAGACTATCATTTATTATAATTTCTGAATTTTCAAGATTATATATTTTTTTACAACTAAGGAAACCGAAAAATATAATTTTGAATTATATGTTTATTTCTAAAAAATTTAATTTTTACTTGCAATTATTTTTAATGTGAAAACTAAATTGAATGCCTTGCTGTATTTATAAAAATAAATTCAATTCGTAATTGTTTAAAGAATATGTAATTTAAAAGAAATGCGTTTAATAAGGAATATAATTACATATAAATTAATGTTGCGATTGGCAAGTTAGGGAAAAAAGGTTATCATATATTGGTATATTTTATACAAATTTCGAGAAGAGAAATTTTCCTCTCGCAATGCGAAGGCGTTTTGCACGTCGCATCGATTGTATCGATTCGAAGAGTCCTTATACATCGTATGCATGTGCACGTTCAAACTTCTCGCTACAAGACGAGAGACCGCGCGAGGGAGCAATATCGTATTTCAAAATCCCTATTTAGCATAAATATCTGGCCGCGGCCTCAGGAATTTTGCGGCGAAAGTCGAAAGAAAAGTCGAGAAGAAATACATAGAGATATAAGAACGCGGAAAAATAGTAAAAGTGAAGACAAAAAATAGAGGCTTACGTTTAACACAGTGTTTGATGTTCTCATAAATGTCATTAATTATTGAGTAACATTATACAGCAATACTGAATATAGAAAAAAATTGTTGATATTGATTAGAATACATATAACTCTAAAAAATGTTACCTTTATAGAAAAATCTTTTTTTAATTTTTGCTCAAATATTTGAATGATTTCAATATATATTATTGCTTCTCCGCTGTTTTACTCATATACAAGAATGAACAGCAAGAACTTTTAATCATGTACATACAGGCAAAATTTTGAATATTTTTGTATGTTTGATGTATATTTTTTAGCTTCTTTTAGAAAGATTATTTAATTCATTATTTTTTAATATAAAAATATTAACACTTATAGTCAGTTATTTTAATTTTGCATGAATTATTAAATCAATTATGTAATTAATTATTAAACAATTAATATATACTATGATTATATAATTAATTATTCATTATTAAACGATTAATGCATTACAACTTTTCTTTGCTTGAATCATTTGGTGCTGTAATTTGTGTATTATTACGCGTTCTTTCAATTTGAAAATAATTAACTAATTATATTTAAATTGGTGAAAATTTTAAAGCGCGGTGCGAGATATATTTGAATTCAAGCATCATTAAAGAAAAATAACTATTATCCATAGAAAGACTGTAATGAAACAATAATTTCCTATTCTTTTTATCGCTTTGATTTCGATTTTAATAAATCTCACGAAGTACTTTTATAAGCCGTCTTGATAAGTTTACGATCCTCAATCGTTGGAGTTAATTAATCGCGCAGGTGATAATCTTTAATTATGCTCGTAAGAATGATCTCATTTAGCTCGTAATACTTGGAGTAGTTCGTGCAATTATCTATTAGCTCGAATGACAAGATTGAATAACAACAAGAATACAAGTTTAAAAATTTTTAATATTTTCTTTTAGATAAGAATTTATAACATTTTTTACGTTATTTTATTTTAACAGAAATTTTTTTTCCATTATTTCTTTCTTATATACTTGTACCTCCATCACTGGAAAGAGAAACAAAAGAAAAACTTTTAAATAATAGCAGCATATGTGTGGCAATTTCTCTCATAAAAAATAAAATTTTGAAAGTGATCATATATTCTAAGAACTATTATCTCGTAGAAAGATAGGCAAACAACGATAGATACGAATGTCGATCTTAATTATCTCGCAGTAAAGTTATGATGTGTTTGAAATTGGAAAACAGGAATATTCGATGGAAAAGCGGAGGGTAAGCGGAAAGAACAATGAAAATACAGAAAGAGAGAGATAGATAGAGATAGAGATAGAGAAAGAGAGACAGAAGGAGGGTAAGGATTAACTGCATCGCACGACTAAATTGCCCCGAGCGTATAAATACAGGTGTACACGAGACTGAGGGTGGATTTTGCCATGGAGAGAATTCTACCTTCCGATAATCAATTTCCACATCGAGATTTATCAGTCGGTAGATTCACCGCGGCGCGGCGGATCATTCGGTCTACCAAGATTTATGCGAGCGCCATACGATGCGGCCGTGGCCTCGTATAGGAACGACGCTTTCGCGCGGAAAATAATTTTCCGCCTTCCTTCGATCATCGCGCGCCGGGCGATATCAAATGTTGTTATTTGTCGAACCGACGAGTCGGGAAAATTGGCGAACATTTTGAAACTAAATCGTCTCGTCGTTCTCAGCTATTGTTGTTAGGGATGATTAAATAAGAGTCATCGGTTAGATAATAGTTGGATAAATCTTCCTGCCGTTTTGATAAATAAAAAAATACATGGAGATAGTTAATGTAAAATTATATTTTGCTAGAGTCATTTTTTTCCATTGTTCTATAAAGAAAGAGATTTATAAGTCCATGTCATATCAAAAAAAAAATAAATGTTCCACAAAGACTCTAACAAATTTTAAAACGTAAAAAAAAATTTGTTTCTGATATAGTTTCCGAGAAAATAACTTATATATAACACGTTACATATGAGAAATGTATTATATACTTATTATAAGTACTTTTAAGAAATTACATGCAAAGGACATCTTTAGATGATTCGGCAACCAAAAAAATAAATGATTGTTTGACTGTGCCATGGATTTGAATAATTAATGAAAATCGTCAAGAAAGTTTTGTAAAATCGACGAGCGGAGAAGCGCACGTCACAAAAATTAAAAAATTTTTCCGGCAATTTTTCACACAAGTTTCAACCTTCTTTCGTCGCACTTTCGCTTCGTAAGTTGTATAAATGAGAGAAAGGTTGGCGGATTAGAAACTGCGGTGTAGTTTGTTGGAAAATATAAGTTTCCTTAAACTGAAAACTTGAGACGCATGTTAAATAAACAACTTTATTATAAAACTTAGAAAGATTGATGTCTTTCTATGTGATATTCAAATATATATATATGTATATATATATACGCAGATTTTTCAAATATGTTTTTATTTTTTACACACGTATAAATATCGAAATTTTTTAAAACGGAAATACACCGCGCATTTTTATTTTAATGTTTTATTTATTACGAATTTAAAATTAAAATCAAATTTTCCTTAACAGAGAATTTCACTTTGAATGAGAAATGTTTTTTAAATTATAAACAATTGAAAATAAAGAGCTTTTTTCAGAAATTAAGATTTACAGAAAAATATATTGATAATGAAACCTTATTTCTTATTAAATTTCAAATTAAAAGAATTGTATAGAATATATTATCAAGTATCAGAATGCAGTTGCTTTTGGAAATATCACGTATTCGATATCAATTTAAAAAAAAAGAATAATAAAAAACTTGCACAATCTTATCCGCAAAATGTCTGACTATTATGTCACTACTGTATTTCGATTTTGATAGAGCATCTCTCTTTTTTTTTGGGAGCACGCGCTTCCTCTATCAGATGAATTATAAATTTCCCGCGGGTGTTCTCGATTCTCTGGAATCAAAAATTCAAAATGCATCGCGCAACGAATTCGTTTTTGCATTCCATTGGCGACTTTTTAAATCAAGCTACTCTTATGAATGCTAATCGACGGTTTTTCAAAATTACGGTTGTTGGTACATATGTCAGTCATGAAAAATATATTAATAGACGAGCATATTTTTCGTTTGTAAAAAAAAATATTTTAAGTAACGAAAATGTATGTGTGTGTGTGTGTGTGTGTATGTGAAAAATGAGTCCAACATAAAATACTTTACAAAAGCGTAATCAAATGAGATACAATAATAAAAATACACATAATAATATAATAAACAAAGTATATAACATATAATTATTAGAGTGTAACGCGAATACATAATGATAAAATATAACAAATAAAGTTTAACAACTACACAACTTTATATAAAAAGATATTTTATAGACAAAGACGGCATATAACTTTCGAAAAAAATGTGATTTTCTTTATATGTACATATAATATTATTCTAGTTATCTTACATGTATTTAAATAATTTTTAGAGAATAATTAAGTCACTAATCGAAAAGGAGAGAAAAAAGCTTTTTTAAAAATGTGTTATAAAATTTATATATATGTTGAGAACCTTTTTATCCCACAACAGATTTATTAAAAAAAAAAATCTTAAAATATAAAATAAATAGTTTATGACGTATTTCCGCGCAAGAGATATTATCGTAATAAATTATAAATAATTCAATAGTAATTTGATGAAAAATTTTTCTCTATTCTTTCACGTCACGTTTTATACTGGAATAACTTACTTTTTATTTAACTCGTTGATGAATTAACTAATTGAGAATGATCTCATTAATTCTTTAATTTCTCAGAATCGACTTCCTTGAAAATAAAACATGAAAATATTTTATTCTATATTTTTAAGTTAGAGTTCTATTTGTGTAAAATTATATTATTTTTACAAAACAGTGTTATCAATAATAAATTACGCTATATATGTTTAAAAGTCAAAAATATTCGCACCCGTTTCTATATGAGAAAATATTTTGCGCCACTTTCTGAGCGACCAAATGATCAATACTTGAAGAAGCACGCATTACTTTCGGACATTCCTCTCGACGCGGAGAATTTTCTCGGCTCGTGCGGGTCTAAGACCTCGATTTTTCTCTGTTTACGCCGATCCGCCGACCGTATTATTTACGAGCGGTAGATACGAGTCGGTGCCATCGATTTTCCCGACATCCAGCGGACGGATTACAAATCGCGGGCATGCAAATGCGCTTTTTATCGTTGCCGACTCCTCGAAATGCTCTTCACGCCGCCGTCGGCTGACGCAACGAGAAAATGCATCCAAAATCGGCGATGGGATCGACACAGCGTGGCATGCGCGACATTCGCGGCATTCTATCGCAAAGCGATACGTTTCAAGTATAAAGTAAATTATAGCCAACGCGCGATTCCATCAGCGCGTAAATGCTTTTTGCAGAAATTCTCTTGAGACTGTCACGCGCAAGTTCTCGTTTAACAAATGATGGACACACTACAAAGCAAACGATATTTTAGAAATATTTCAATATTCTTTTTGCGTGATATATTTTTCTGATATCACATCACATACGAGTATATCTTTAGTTCAATATCAAAATTACATTATATCATTAAAGCCATTACGCTTATAAATAATAATAATATGTAAATTGTAAATTTTTTATATATGTATATTTATATGTAGGATAACTATTGTGTGTGGCAATATATTAATTCTATCGGGATGAGAAGCACTGATACAGTCGAATGTATCTCAGAATATCTTATTAATATCGATGAATAATCTATGCGCGCATTCTGGGCTCTTACCAATCAGCCCAGCTTCAATCTATAAAACAATCTCTATAGCTAACCACAGTAGCCGTCGTGAAACAGCCACCCTCGCAAAGCTGTCTGCCAAATCACCCTATTAAACTGACGGCGAGTGCCGGCAATATTGAGTTAGGTGGCAATAGCCTAAATTGCAATAGCCCTTTACTTCGGTGCAATCGATCGTGCTGGAACAACGATAATTACTGTACAGCGAGGCACATGCGGTTTCTGTCTTGAGACCAGAATAGTTCAAGACTCGTTTAAGTATTAAAACTCCGTGAACATGCAATTTTTACAAATTTTTATCGGCGCTCGGTTTCTTTCGATTAATTTACTGCATTTAATGAATTTTGTAAATACATCGTAAATACACTACGTTTTGGCTTACAAAATCAGACAAGACAATTATAATAAAATTCACATACATAAATATTAATATAATATAACATTTTTAATATTGAAACATAGGAGAAATTTTATGAGTACAATTTTTTATTCCTATCTGGTGAAATTTTCTGGTATTTTTGTTTCATTTCAAGTTTTAATATCTTTTACTTAAAATCATTTCTTGTTTTATTAAATAAGAAAATCTCTCTTTCTATATATATAGCAACATACTCTTATATAATTTAATTATACAAAATATCTTTTAATTTTTTTTTTATTTTAGTGGTATAACACATCATAATAACTCTTATTCGTTGTAATAAAAATGTAGCGGAAACGCAACTGGGAAAGCAGAGTATCTTGGAGTTTCGCACCCTCCACGTAGGCGGATATCCTCACGCGGGCGAGGACATAGCGCATTTCGTGGGCCAACTGCAGCAGATCTGGTTCAATGGATATCCATATCTGGAGATTGCGCGCAGCGCTGGAAGCCATCAGGCCTCGCATGGTGTTACGCCCATCATCAGGGTCACCGGCAAATTCGGGAAGAGAAATCATCCGGTTCACCATCCGGTGACATTTACCTCCAAGCACACTTTTGTGGGCCTTCCGGTGCTCAAGGCGTACGTGGAAACTAACATCTACTTTCAGGTAAATATTGATAATATAATTTAACTTATAGTTTAACAAACCATTGACTCTTCAATTCACAGTGTTTCTTGGCCAATTTTCAGCAATGCTTCATGGAAATGTCGAGAGAGATTATCGTATTTATTTATCATATTTTTTTAATTTAATTTTAAAACATCAATCAGAATAAAGTACATCAGAATAAAGCATGAAATATGTTTTGTAAAGTATTCATTCCCTCTTTTAATGACATTATCTGAATACATTTATACGCGGATATACTAGATATAAGATAGAAAAATCGAGAAAGAGATCTGTATACAGAAAATTGTACGGATACTTTTAAACAATGCACAACGGCATTTTTGCAGGCTTATCGAAAAAAAAAGTTATCAAAAAGTTTTGAATGATTAAGTTGCTTTTAGATTTTTTTCTTTGTCAAACATTCGCCGCCTTATAAACCTATAAATTATTTTCCAGTTTAAAACGCGTGAGGCGAACGGCCTGATACTTTATAACGCCGGAAGGGAACATGACTTCATTGCAGTCGAGTTGGTTAATGGACACGTTCACTACGTGTTTGACCTTGGCGATGGAGCCGTCAGGGTCAGGGACACCTCCAAGTCCAAATTGAATGATGGCAAATGGCATGCCGTCAGCATCGGTAGACCTGCTTCAAAGAGACATACCCTCGCTGTAGACGATCACGTGACCGCTGTCAATAGCCAGGGTGGCAATGAAAATCTCGATCTTGATGGCATTTTGTACATAGGTAAGTCGAGAAGGCTATACAATTATTTTACGCACATCTAATTTTCAATTATGATAAAATCTGAGCGTCATACTTTCTTTATTTAAAGCGCTTGTTATATAATGTGTGCCACGCGTTATACATATAACGCATTTAATTAGGATTCTATTTGACAATTTTATTTGACAATATTATGACAATAAAATATAACAGCGTGTATCCAATATTAATTTAACTTAATTAGTCAATCATGATTTACATTTCCAATCCGTTTTATTGTATAAGTTAAATATGTCATTCATATATCGAATTCTTAATTAGTTTAATAAATTATTAATCATTTTTGTCTAACTTATACCATATTCGTCATTAAATCTGTTTAATACTAAACGGTAACAAATTTGTATTTTCTCTAATATTGTTTTTAAAAACAAGTAATTTCTTCTTTTCTTTCATTATTATGAAAATATTTCTACACATATCACAATTTAGTGTTTCTCCACATCTCAAAAAAGAAAATACATGTAATATATAAATTTCAAAACAATAGCGATAGTAGAGCTTCTATATTGCATATTTATATTGTTTTCACTAAAAATATATGGAATTCATATCACGGATTGGAAGGTGAACACGCATCGTTAAATTTTAAAATGTGTGATATTTTAGAATATACTTTCAGTAAATTTAGAAAACTTCTACAATTATATGATTATTACTGTACGTACCTTTTATCAATTACATATTTGAACGTAGAATATACGTATAAATAATGTGCACATACACACAATCTATAATCTATAGCATTTTATTAATGATTTTCGCTCTCTCATTATGAATCTGAAAAGCTCACTAAAATCAATCTTGATGATTGAAATAATTCAATTACTTAAGTGTTCTCCTGAAATAATCGATCTCGATGACTGAAATAATCCAATTATTTAAGTGTTCCTCTTTTTATCTTCTCTTTCTCTTTCTTTTTTACATTCTATAACAGAAAAACAAAATATTCAATTATTGGATCTATGGATACATATAAAACATACTAAAAATCGATAATTATAACATAAATTTAAAAAATCATATTTAGTAATTACGTAGAATGTGTACTAAAACTTTTGATGATGACGTTAATAACATTGCATAAATGGAAAAAACTACTCACATGATTACTCTACAACGTCCTCTGCTATCCATTCTTTGTCCTTTCGGACAGTATGTAGGCGCTGTTATAATATTCCTGAATCCAATTTGTGGAATAAACTCGTCAGGCGTCACGGTATCCTGAACACTATCACTGTTTTCTCTCTCCTTTTCTGTCGTATCCATATCATCAATCTCAACTGGCAAAACTTTCTTTTCATCTGTCGTCGATGTCACTTTCGCCGTGGTACTAATTGATTCATGATAAAAATCATGTAAGATTATCGTAATATTAGTAAACATCTATATATATGTTTGACGTCAGTAATATCTTTCACTTTCAATTCCGGCATTTCGAGATCAAATACGATATGCATTATTAAAAAAATGTTGAAAAATTAAAAACTACACATTTTTATTAATTATTTTAATATTGTATGATTTGTTATTAATTTTTAGTTATGCTTAGTCTTTTATACACGTCAAGCATTTAAAGATACCAAACTATCATAAATAAATATGATAAATATCTAGATATATATATAATGTGCTCGACTCAGAAATACCTTATATATGACACGTTTTAGTTACGTAACTCATGTTCTTTATCAGATACGATGAGTTGTTTTTAAAAAGTGTCTATATAATAAATATTAAAGCATGTTTGATGTCTACATTGAAATGTAAAGTTAGTTCTCGAAGAGAGAGACTTGTGAAAAAATTTTTCTCTGTGCAAATGTATAATTTGCAAATCAACGCGACGTCTGTCCTGAGATGTGTGACGAAGCGGAAACATTATATGCGTTTCGGGACGTAGAATTCAAATTACTGGTTCAGAACCAAACTTAGGAAGTGTATCCATCATAGCGCGAATTCTAAGCACGCGCAAAAGCCAATTCAGTATAATACACTCTGAACTTTAAGATTTCAATTCCCGATCCTTTTTGTCGAAAATTCGGAACAGTTCTCGTAGAATATTGAATAAAATTTAACGTTTCGTCGATGTGACGAAACGTATTGCCAAACGAAAATGTCCTTGCACTAAGCTAATGGTAATCCTTCTATATTTGATCTGATGTTACCACTCGACAGCAATCAAGCCGGGCTTAAAACCACAGATTTGAAAGGTCGCAGCCGCCGAATCGAGAATTTTTCATACGCGTGGTATGCAAACTAATTCTAAGCTCGACATACACACACACACACATGCATCATGTACGCACGCACACATACATATATCGATTTCCACTTTTAATGAGCTTTTTTCACATGAATTTTTTATATCGTCGATACGTACTCGTAATCTTTACTCGAGTATTTGTACTCGTTGCTAAATGCCCATCTCTCGTCCGGTGAGACGTAACCTTTCATCAAATGGATCTCCGCTTGCGGTGCTTTCGGTTCCGGATGCACCCTTTTCCATCTGTCTGGTATATTCTCTAGGCCTCTCATTGGTTCCGGTAAGAGATGTACGATCAACAATCTTTGCGGGCGAATTATCGACGATGACGTTGAGAAGCCAACGATCGAGATTAGCAAGATAAAATCGCGAGGAGACATATCAATATATAACTTTTAACAAAATATAATATCGATTTAATAAAACATTTAGCTTTAAAAAATAGTTATCAAATTTCTATCTGTTATATATATATTTTGATTATTATCATCTTCATATCACACATCGACTGATTTTCGAAACACCGTGCGATTGCGTAGTTCTCGAGCTTATCGAATCGACTGGATTGCAAAGCTGGATTGATAATTCGAATTCACACGGTTTCAATGACGGTGCATAGACGACTGTTTGAAGCGCGAAATGATCGCTCCCTATAACTAACTTAGCAGGTCGCACATCCGGCCTTCGACCGCAGCGCACCCGCAAATGTAAGATTAAATTCGTAAGACAATAAAACATTCGTATTGTTCACGGTTGTTATGACTAATGCGATTTATGACAATTTGACAAAATTCTGATAAATGATATTGCTGGCTGATAAGAGCGAGTGAGCGACCGAGATAGTTTCGACGTAAAAACGCGTTTGAATGTGATTAATTTATAGCTAATAATTATTTTTGATAAATTCATTTAATCCCCCGAATGCAATCACATGTTTCTATACAAGATAGTTCGTTATTAATACGTGTGTGTGATAATTTTAAATGAAAAAATATAGGATATATTTTTTTCATAAAAAATTTGCTTTTTGAAAACAGCGGTTATCAGAGTATAGATAAAAAATTTAACATTCTAGTAATAATAATAAGAGATTATAATTGAAAATGCTGCAAAAAAAAAGTTATTTATAAAATACAAGAGATTGTTTTTTTCTCAATTTTTACATATAATATATACACTACGTAAAAAAATTAAAGGGCCACTTTCTTTTTTCTACAGGAAAGGCCATTTTTCAAGTGGCTGCAACTTTGTCGCGTATAATCAGATTGAGATCAATAAAAAAGCGTTACAAAGCTTGAAGTCTCTAGTTTCAGAATCTTTTAGTCAAGTTCAATTCTTTTTATTTGTTACAAAATTACATTATGAAAAAGCGACATCCGTCGATTGATCAAATTTTTCAAAAGTTTGTCAAAGAGTGCCGAAGAAAAAAAAAATTGTGGCACAATTTCATTAACTGAATTTTAAAGAGCAGAGTTTTATCTTTGATTTGCTTTTTTAATGAATGTCCTACGATTTTTTTCGCCGTGTTATTCACTACTGATGTATAAAATCGATCTATTAACTTTGAGCATTCATAACTAGAGAAAAAATTATCGCGCAATGATTATTAAAAAAGCAATTTAAAGAGAAAAGTCGGCACTTTAAAATACACTAATTGCCTTAAATATTATAATTGATAAGACAGTCTTTTCTCCTTCTCTCGCCGAGTAATTATTTATGTTCAGCCAACCTTTTTCCAATAATCTCGACCTTGATGTACATACATTGTAGAGTTGTAGATATTGATTGACCTTGTTCTAACTGACGCTCACACACGTATAGGTTTTTTAAATATGCTTATGTAAATGAAAAAAATAAAGTTTTCTATTGTCATTAATTATTTCCTGCATGATGCCTTATACATAGCGAGATATACTATGTAGCGAGATGTAATATGTACATATTAACCAGCTATATATGTATATCTCAGTTACTTATTTATATTTATTTTAAAATCATACTTATATATTTTGATTATCAATTATTTTTTATAGCACTCTGTTTTTGCAATTAATCATTTCTATGAATTTCTGAATACTGTCGACGACAAGGGAAAATTAATCAGCTGCTTAACTAAATATTATGTTATTCGTAGAAATATCACTTTTTTTAATGCGATGTGTTTCTTTTGTCACGCTAACGCGTGACTTCAATCGTTCTATTCTTCATTGCCAATCCATTTGACAAAGGATTATTTATTAATGGAATTCTTTGCGCTTTTGACGCCAGTGCGCAATTAATTCGAAGGCTACAGCCGTAGAATAAACTGCGCGAAGACATCGTACGACAATTATTACGTCGTTTGTATATAAACGAGTAGCTCTTCAAATAATCAACAAGTAATGACGTAAAACGTAAAAGATCCGTGTAGAGCGATAGTCGATTTTATCTTTGTAATAGTCACATCTATAGAATTATTCTGTTATCTGTTAAAACTATTCGCGGCGCTTACGAAAGACATGTCGCAACTACGGTGATAAAATGCATGATGTTTTTAGTAGATGCAACAAGACATGTGCACGGATTAATTTTAAGAATGTAAGATATTTCGGCGAGAATCATAAATCACGATTTTACATAAGTTATGATATCGACTTATAAACCAACGTTTAACACAGATACTTGCATTTCCAATCTCATCAGCATATCAAATCGATACAACCTGAGTGTATATCTGAACGATATTAGCGCGATACGATACTAACGATACTAACTATACTAATTTGTAATTCAGTTGCGAAATCAGCATAGCTGATATATATCATCATTAATTAGATCCATATCATACCATTCCCATTGCTTAATTCATTAATAAATCTATCGGTCACCGTCGGACTAGCATAAATTAGCAAATCAACTATCAATTATTCTTCAATCATAATTGCAAAACCGCGTTCACGCAGTGCGAGATCTATCGCAGGAGATCATAAATTGTCAGCCAAAATTCGAAATTGCAGTTAACCATAATTTAAAAAAAAAAACATCGTCTTGCTAAGATACCTTAATACTTCTACAGATATAATGTTTATATAAAATGCATTATATGGACATTTTGAAGTTCGTTAATAATTTTATAATCGACGAAAACGAAAATTTTGTGATAAATAATACGAGAACATGTCCCAGAAAAAAAATAATTTTCTTCAAAAAGAATTTCATGATTAATTAGAATTTGTTTCAAGTTACTGCCAATTTGTTTTAAGAATTTGTTTATACAGTTAACAAAATTTTAAAATCATTGAAATTTTTTTAAATAAAGCCGTATTATCTTTTTTATTCTTTACGTAAATAAATTTTTTTGTCTGTATAGAAAAATATTATAAGCTCGGAGAGAAAATATTACTTTACGATATAATATTTTATATATTTTATCCCGGTATATTTTCTGATATATAACACAAAATATCTTGAAAGGCATTCTCTCGAATAGTTTGCTTTGTTATTGTTATATTCAGAATATAATTGATTGTGTGTGTGTAGATTTTATCTTTTCTACAGATGTGTACCAGCACAAACAATTTCGATTTTTCTCATCATCTATGTTAATATATCGTATCTGATAAATTTTTAAAATCAAGTTTTTCTGAACAATTCTTTGAAAATAGAAAATCTTTACAGTTTGGTCCAAAAAATATCTCTTACATATCATCGTGCTGGTCGAAAAACCTCGAAATTGCATACAAGCCAATTAGCCACGCAGTCTCGTTTCGAAACGAGACTGCACGCGCATATACAGAGTATAATGTGTAACCAACGGACGGACGGCCGTCAAAATAATTTTCGGTCGACGGCGATCCCGCAGGATTTATGGCGGCGACCGGACGTGCGGTCGTCTCGGTCCGTCGAGCAGCCGCGATTGCGAGAGAATCCGCGGATATCACGAGGCTGCGAGTTTGCAAGAGAAATGATTTCGATTTTACTTTATTACGTTTCGATTTCATTTTACGTTTGTGTCGTTGTTCCATTATGTCTGTATTTTGAATTTTTATTTCTCTGAATCCTTATCTCTGAAATTAAAAGAGTTACGTCAAGAAGAATTAATATCTCTTTTTTATTTTCTTTAAGGCGGAGTGGAAAAAATGCAGTACGGCCAATTGCCGAAGCAGATTATCAGCCGTCACGGATTCGAAGGATGTCTGGCGTCGTTGGATCTTAGTGGGGAAAGCACCGATCTCATTACCGATGCCGTCGTACCGAGTTCGCTCGTCACATCCGGGTGTGACATTTATACCAACTTACATCCGGGCAAGAAATGCACGCATGATCTCTGCGCCAATCATGGCACATGCGTACAGCAATGGAATAGTTATACATGCGATTGCGACATGACGAGTTTCACTGGACCGACCTGTAATGATGGTAAAAAAACAAAATAAAGGGTTTACGCTAGTCTCTTTATTTTATTGTTAATAGAATCGCACTTATCTGTAAGCGTATTAAAAACCAGCTCAGATTTCGCAATGACTCGTGACAATTATTACAAAAGAGAATAGTGCTCTTTGCGACTTTATCTCGATTTAAATAGAATATATATTAATTACATTAATATGTATTAATATGAAAGAATAAAAAGATAAAAAATTGTTTCTCTAAATTAAATAAAGCTATAACGCATGTAACATCGAGGCTCAAAAAGCTTATCTGCAAAAAAGATTGATTGATTATAATGAAATGCAAATGAATTCTAATGACATAATTGATAATTTTGCAAACTTAAAAGAAAAAAAAGTTTTTACGAATGTAATATGCACATATAAATATCTATTTTAATTTTTATAAAATAGAAAATAATTTAAAAAATTAGTTACTCAGTTGTGTTTGTTTACAATGTTATATTAATTGTTTTATTATATTAATAACTAGCTTCAATATCCGATTACTAAAGATACCATGTATATCTTTTCTATATCTAACTTTATATACTCTTATAAAATTCCACAAAAAAGATTTTCCATCTTTTGTATAAATACGATGAATAATTTCTCGTTTATTTTATTATTTTTCAATAATATTTACCACATATGAGTGTATATATGTACATATATATTTTACGACATAATAACGTTATTTATATATTTATTAAAGTTACTAATGTTATTGTCGAATTATTCCGTAATATAATAAATATTACAAGATTGTAAAACTAGTTTACGTTTGGATAAAATCGATTTTTTTGCCGGGAGGAAAATACTTTCTTGGAAAATTGCGGTTATACATATAAATATTAATAAAATTCGATAAATATAAAAGTTTTTTTTCTGAATTGAATAAAAAGTAAGATAGTTTAATCGACAGCGCAATATAAAGTATTATATTGGAGAGAAAATAGCTTCTCAGATATTAAAGTTTATAATGTAACAGACGAAAGGTACTATCTTAATTAAAATTATCAAAATGTTCTTTTTGCAGAGGCTATCGCTTACGAATTTGGGGCCGGAAGAGGAATTATCACATATACTTTCCCGCCTGATCGTCGGCCGGAAATGAAGAGGGACACCGTGGCCTTGGGTTTCGTCACCGGCGTTAATGATGCCGTACTGCTTAGGATAGAATCTGCATCGAGTAATGATTATCTCGAAATAGAAATTGTTAGTACACGATATAATATATAATTGGTATTTTACTTTAATCTTAGTATAAGAATATATTAATCAAAATATTATATTTTAATATTAATTAAGCGCATTTTTTAATTTATCAATTTTGTTGATTCAATATGTATATAATTTTCTATTTCGATAAATTATGTGTATAAATCAAGGGTAACTAAGAATTACGTTATAATTTATGATTGTCACATAGGTGGAAGGTAATGTTTTTGCGGTTTATAACATGGGCACCAATGATCATCCAATCGGCGAGGTTGGCGTGAAAGTTAACGACAACCAATATCACGTAGTTAGATTCACCAGGACAGGACCGAATAGCACGTTACAAGTCGATGATTACAATCTGCAATCTAATCATCCGTTGGGTAAGTAATTTTTACACAATGCATGCTGTACAAAAACCAATACTATTGGCGCGTGATAAGCTATCACCGATCGATTGTGTCATCAAGTTTTCATATATCATAATGCGTACGCGATAAGAGATTTCTATTTATAAAGTTTTTATCGCACAAATTAAGCTTTATTTGCTATGCATTATAGTGTGTGTATATGTTTGCAATATATATATAATACTTATAATATATAGGATGTTTTCTGATATTTATAACTTCAGAGATAAATTTAATATAATAAAAAATAATAAAAGATTTTTATATAATTATCTATCCTATCTGACTCTGTTTCGAAGTTATTGATTTTTTTGTGTTTCAATAATTCTCATATTTCAGTAATTTGATTGAAATAGTCAATGAAAAGTCAATGATGACATGTTTGCTGATTTGTATTTGAGAAAAAGACAATAGGAATTTTGAATATTTTATGTAAAGACAAGTGGATGATACAGAATTCGACATAACACACAAAACACAATCAGATAGGATAAATAGTTATACAAAATTTTTTCTATTATTCTCATACGCTATTCTTAATTTTCTGTATGGGTAAAATTTTACCCATATACATATATTATGAAACATTCTGTAATAATAAGTAAAAAATATAAACAGCACAATTTTAAAAAATTACGTCCTTTTTAGTAAAAATTAAAAGAAACAACAGTGATGTTCAAATTGCCACAATATTTTTCGTCAATTATATCACAGAAATTATATGTATAAATCACATAAACAAACGTAACGTCTAAAGTCCGATAAAGGCATAAATAGTGAAATTATATCGCGCGTAAATATACATTCAATACAAGAGACGATCCAGACAGCTCGAGAACTGCTGAGAAACTGAGGACGAAGGATCCCATGTGGTCTTTTATGAACTTTGTGATGCCGGTCGTCGACCCATTCGTCCCAACCATGGGAAACGGCCTTGATCGGTCGTTCATCAAACCTTATTGTCTATTGTCTTGTCTTTTTCACTAATGTGAAGGCCGCTCGTTGCTTCTACGGAAAGGTGTCTTGTTCCTCTCGGGAATGATTTATTTATAAATTGAGACTTATCAGGCAATCAGATATCCGAGAGTACTCCCCCGTCTTTCGTAATTGTATTCGAGTACATTGTCGATTCTGTAATTTATACAAAGGGAGGCACATAATGTACCCTTCAATGTCATTTTTATTAAACTATTTTCGGCGATATGATTAAATGCAAAGAATCTTTTTAAGATATTTAAATCCACTGCTTCTTATATTAAAATATCGTCGAAGCAAACAACGATATTAAATAGATAATTACTTGTCGGAAAAATTATGACATTACTAATTTTTTCTTTATCTTTAAGTTTATAATATCCTTGTGACCATCTTCGCTTTCCTAACCATCTGATACTTTTATAATTATAAATTAATATCGATACTTATAAAACTCTAAATAAGTACTACCCTGGTGTACGTGCGATGACGTGCTTCTCGTTCCCCTGACAAGATGAAATCCTGATGCTCAACTAAACGATCGATGTTTCATCGAACACGAGCTAAGTCTATTCTACTCTTGCATCATTTGAAATTTCCATACGTAACATGCTGTCCTGATAACTTGACCTTTAAAAAACGCTTTCGCTTTTCTATCAGGCCTGTGTGTGCTTACATCAATTCTGTTTACTTCTAATATCTGTGCGGGTCTCTCCTTTCAAAAGGAGAATGGAATGAGCTGAATCAATGAATTAAAAGTGAAATATTAAAAGTTTAGACTTTCTCTCACTATTTTAAATATTTTATAACATTTTATAAATATGACAAGTAATGTAACTTGCAATTTGTACGATAACACATATAAACTTAATTATTAATTGCATTAATATTAATTAATATTAATTAAGTTAATTGTTAGCATAACATATCAATGAGACGCATATTTTATTCTCGATCAGCGTGTTAAAAATTGAGAGTACAAATCATAAATCATTAAATAAACGCCAATATATCGCGACAAATAAATGTGATTGATCTTGGATAACGTAAGACGTAAGTTAATTTCAAAGAGATATATACAAATATAAAAAAATTCCTACAGTGAATATCGTATATTTAATCGTATATTTAATTAACAGATGACAAAGCGGAGTTCCTATTTTCTGTGTACAATTAATTTTATAATGTCGTTCATATATCACATTCACCAGAAATTGCATTTCGTTTTCACGGCGTGGGCGTTAATGTAATTAAGTGTCTCACTTAATTACATTACTCTCAAATTGTTTACGTTGGAACATATAATAAACTCTCAGAGTATATTTACTTAATATAATTTAACGCATCTACCAATGTGTTCATGAATTGCAAATTAATATGATGTTGTCAATGTTTATCATTCTTTTCGAAGAACATTCTTTGTCAAGTATTTCGGTAATCATTTCATATATTGCTACTTGAAAAGTTGTATTATTTTATTTAGTATATCAAATAAACCAAATATGTAAAACAATACTTGATGTGTGTGTGTGAATATCTCTACAACAGTAAAATTAAAATACTACCAGATCTCATTGATTGCCACATTTTCTCATTCAACTGTCAGTAAACTAGATTTACCTCACTACATAATCAGACAGTATGTTCGCATATATTCGCGCGCAGATATTAATTACGATGCAGAGCATTGCGCGTTATATACTATGTTGCACTCGTTTTCCTGACCCGTGCAAATTTATCGTCGACTAATGCACGATGCATTTTCATAAGTGTACGAGCTTTTCGGTCCCGCGAGCGTCGTTTGCGCATTGCGGAACTCGCGAATGCGCACATGTGTGCTTAAAATTCAACCAACATTCGCTAAATCTGCTGCCTCTAACCCGATAAGTAATACAATTAATTAATGTCGAAATCATAATAATGTTCATATGACTAATATATCTTCAAAAATATATGTTACACACAAATATATATTCTCATTATTTTATAATGTCATAATTCAGTTATGAAAATTATGCTGCATACAAGTAATTTGAGTTTTATTTACTTGTTGAGACAAAATACACACAGATAAAGAATAGATCGGTTAAAACAGAAATATTATTTCTTGATTTTTTGAATTGAAATGCTCTCTCTTTTTATCGTGACAATTATCGATATCTCCGTTATTTCTAATAGTACAGGAATATGTCTGAGGATAATGTTTGCATTTTATGGTTGACAATACTTCTTTCTCAATATCGTAGTTTTCAAACCTCTAAAATTATCAGTTTCTTTCAAATAGAACTTTGTATGATTTTATATATTATTTCTATGTATTTTTTACATATAAATCGATATATTCTGATATATAAAATATCGGTGTGAAATATCTTATAATAAATTGTTAAAATAAAGCAATTAAATTAAAATTCATTGGATGCTATCTCCTTAACGGAGCGCGGGTTAAAGTATAAACAAGCAAAGTCAGAGAGCCAGGAGAAGTCAGAGGTTATCGGGAAACCAAGAGAGTTGTATACCGTTGCATTGTGTGAAATTTTCGCGGGTTGGATGGCATGAAAGACCTTTGACCTCAAGAGATATAAGCCTTTGTCACATTAACCCTTTGAGCCCACCCCAATTGCCTTCTTGGCGGCGCCGCGTGAGCGAAACTCCTGACTAACGTTGCTATCCTGATAACTTTCTGGATCATCTAGAACCCTTTGAGGCTACGGCCCTCTTATGTCTTTCTAATAAGAGCAAAGGATGCGAATTGATTTCGATTGAACATTTTGCAGGACGCCCTAAACTGCTCTCAATTAATTCTGTAAACTAGACGATAATTGTTGCTGACTAATTGCTTCAGACATACAGCGATTTAATTATTATTATTGAAATTAAACGATAAATATTTATTATATTTTTTATTATATTTACTTTAATGCAAAATAAATTTATTGATATATTTTTAAATATTAACGATAAATATTATATTTATAAGAACGTTATTATTTTATTTTTCAATATTTTCAATATTTTAAAATAATTCAAATAATTGATCTGATTTTTACTGTTCCATTTTTTTCTAATTACGCACGTTGGTTTAATTTGTTAATATTACATGTTTATATTTTTTTATACATATATATAATTTCACAAGAGAAAGATTTTACTTTAAGAGACTTTGATTTCCATACACACATATGTATTAGATCCTACCGAGCCTCCTGATCTTCACATCCTGCTGCCTTGATCCGCAGAAATTCGTGCGAGCTTAGAAAGTTAGACCCTTTTCAGAGCGCTCGCGATGCCGCGACCCTTCTTCCACCCCATACGATTCACATGACGCAATCTACAACAAGAAGATAATCCTCTTCGTGTCTTCTGTTGCTCTGCTTCATGTGTGGAAGACTGCTTATCCCCAAGCCACTTATTCTTTTTCACACGTGTATCATCTTCTCGAGCAATGTACAGAAGATGTCAAAAATGCCTTCACTAGCGATTATTTAGAGCCAGATACATCATATGTAGATATTCACGCATTGTGACTGTTGGTTCTGAGATAAATCGACAATTTTATAATGAATAGTTTGATAGTTGTCTGATCCCTCCATTAAAGTAAAATATAAAATTTATAGAAAGTAACATCATTTATTTTATCTCTTATTTTTGATGATAACATTGCTAATTCTTTTTAGAAGTAATAGTCATGATGTAAATATCTAGACACGATATATCTAATTTGAAAATGCCGTGAATTCGGAAGTCATTCAGTTTTTAATAAAAATTTTTTAGATATAAATATTTAATTTTTATAAAAATGTTAAACACTCAAAGCGTAATAAAGTGTTATATAAAGCATGATTAAACAATATGCTTTAAGAAAACATGCTTCCAAATATCACCGAAACTTCTTGACAGATAATAAAAAAGTTTCCATTTTAAGCAAAAATATCTTTCATTTTTCTGTCAGACAAAACAAAATGTTTCTGTCAGAGACAAAATCGTTTTGTTCTTCG